TGGTGTGAATTCTACTTCAAAAAGCTGTTGGGAGCGTAGGGGTATCGGTACACCCAGTGTAAAATTCAAATATTTCGACCGTTATTTGACCAACTGTATTGGTACCTCCCATGGGTATCGGTACACTTATGGCATTCGATGTTTCTCGGAGCCAATTTTGATATGGAGTGTATCAGTTCATTCGGCTATGTATCGGTACCCTTATTTCATTCGAAATTGAGGGGTATCGGTACATCCGAGGAGTGTATCAGTACTTCCCTATATAAAACTTGTTTTTGGCTCGATTAAGGTTTGAAATACTTTGTAAAAATTATTTCAAAAATATTTTAAGATTAAAACACAATTTTACACTTAAGTAAGGATTAAAATTGACATTTGAAAACTTGGAGTAATATTTTTTATATTCGAATAATTGAATCGAATATATAATTTTGAATCGACTATAAAATCTTAAAATTCATTAATATTTTATTTGTTATATCGAAACACCAAAATGTTTTCAACAACTTCCCACAACAACTTCCGTTGTAGGAATGATACTCGTATCCTCCATTTATAGCCAACATCATGGTGTATACACTGTACGAAGTAAGTCTTTTGATCCGACTCCGCGATATAGAATTGAAGATGAGCTTTGATGCAGTACTCCTTGATTGCTAGGTGTGCCTCTTTTTGTTTCAAACTAAGACCCAATGGCTAACTTAGATGACCACTCGTCTGAAGAACCCTAGTGGGCAGCACATAACTCTGGCATATCATATATTTCAGGATATTGCATAGCATCGTAGTTAATGTCATGTATTGCAACTGCATGATGATACCGATGCAAATCATGGTGAGGCATTTCAGGTTGAGGGTATGTTTCTGCCCAAACATTTAGAGCATTCTGCAATCCTTGACATCTTGAAAGAGATGCCTCTCATACATCAGCCTCAACATCCTTACCTTGTCCCTCTATAGCAGCCTCAAAAATATCGGACTCATCAACTAATGGTGTGTCATCATCGTCTACCAACAGAATAATATATTCATCTTATTTGCTAAATTCAACAAGACTTTCATCGAACCGTCCAACAAGGTTATCATCACCATCACTTGTATGTGGTTCAGAGGGATCTGCTTATTATGTTCTTCGAGTACTGATGAGGTCGGAATATCACTTGTATTCATGGTTTCAACGTACATCCCCACCATATTATTATTTGATGATTGAATTCCAACCATAACAGCAACATCGTCATCAACATTAAGTTGGACTTTTCCATATATCATTAGATTTGAGGAGATCAGGTACCGATAACTTAAACATGAAACATAAGCCCTAAGTTTTCTCTCAATTTTTTGCTTCATTTGGCGATGAGATACATCTACAGGGAATATCATATTGATAGGCATGTATGACTTAAACACAACACCAACATCAGTTTGTAGAATTTCGCCATTATAATGGACAACTGTGAAGAATTTGTTGCTCATTGTTTGAAATGTATTTGGTTAGAAGAAAGGAGTTTGTTGTGTAAGAGATTGAAGATGAAAGGAGTGTGTTGTGTGTGTAAGAGATGAAAGGAGTGTGTTGTATATGTAAAATATTTAGCTGTTGGAACTCGTCATACCGGCGTGACGAGTTCCATTGAATTTTTTAAAAAATTGACCGTTCAATAACAGTCAACAAATTTAAAATTATACCCGTTGGAACCCGTCACGCCGGCGTAACGAGTTCCTTTAGCATTAAAATAATATATATTTTTTACAATGCTTTTAAAAAAAATTAAAATTATTTTTTATTGGGACTCGTCACACCGACATGACGAGTCCCTTATGATATATTAAATATATTCGGGCAGTGGAACCCATGTGACACATCCCATTAAAAAATATATATCTCATGGAACTCGTCACGTGGGCTTGACGAGTTCCATGAACACTGTAGCATTTGTTGTATATCCCAAAATAAAACTCTGGATGCTCTATGGGGCTAAATAATCCACCCACTTGGATTATTTGCACAATTCCACCGACAATTAGACATTATATTTACATTTTTTAGATGTCACAAATGAATGAATTATAAATAACATCCAATGATGATCAACAACAATAGAATTTGATCAGAGTTAGAGGTGATAATGATATTTTATATAAAAATGTATAGATAAAAAATTAAAAAATAATCATTTTGACTAATATATATCATCATTAAAATAACATATAGTAACGGTCCATTAATCAAAATATAATAAATCAAAAAAATAATTAGTTGAAATATAATATTTTAAAACATCAATGATCATAAATGAACAAAATGATCACCCTTATAATTTAACCAGAAATGTAAAAAAGCTTAGAATGGCGGAGCATGATTGCACAAGCAGCAGCTCGTGGCGTAGCAGGGAGTGGAGGTTCTCAAGTCAAAGGTGGTTTGTTCCGTTGGTATGTAAAATGTCAAAGTGGGGTCCTCTTGTTGTGGCGCTCACGTCGTAAACTGACATGGGACTGTTCCGTGTATCGCGGGACTACGATATTAAATGCTCACCCTGTTTTTCTTTATCCGCTGGCTTAATTGTTTGTATTAACACGCTCTTCATCTTGATATGGATTTGTATTATTATGTTTCGTACAATCTTTTTTATTAGATGCTTAAGAAGCACGATAAATGAGTGCGATGACGTTATGATTACTTAAAGCTTTAACCATTAAGACATCATTAATTAGAGCGGTGAAATAATGGTTTATCGATGGTATTGTTAACTCTTTTGCCTCTTGAAAGAATGATAACAAAAGGCGAGAAGGATCTGTTTGGTTAAAAAATTAATATAGTTTGATTTTAAGTTCATCTAATAGTTGATAGTAGCAAATTGATAAGTATTAACTTTTAATTTTTATTGAGGTTTAAGAAGATTAAAAGGTTTTTCGAAGAGTTAATCAAAATAGAAAAACAATAAAAGGAGGAACAATTGAATGGTCTTATGGATCGAGAAAATCATCAAACGATGATAAAAATACAATACTTCAATAGAAACTAAAAACTAAAATTTTTTGATCTCTCACCATTACATGTTTGATCAACTTAAAATTAAATTTTGATATTCTTCTCGTTAGACGGAGCCTTCCCACGATTGGGATTGATTGGTGACCTCATTATTCATCGAAAAATCAACATTTATGGCGGGTACTAATTTGAAAAATTATGGTTTTTTAGCAAGAATATTTTGACATGTCACATTAATATTTCTTAACGACAACTAATGACGGTGATTGTAATGAGAATTAAAAGTACTGTAATCGTAATGTGAGAATAAGGTGAAAATGTCCAAAACGTTTACTGATTACTAGTGTAGTTTACCCTATTTATGTTTATGTTTTATTTGTCAACTAATAGTTTCTCTCTCTAATTCTACTAAATTTGGATTCAAACCCCTCAACTTCAAAGTATCATAATCTAATATCTTTGAATTTTTTGGTTGACCTCCCGATTTCAGGGCTTCTCCCTCAATAATTGGGATTGATTTGTGTTGCATAAATTACTTTGGGGGTGAGTCTTCCAATAAAGATTTTCTGCATACGCAAAGACTCGAACTAGAAACTTGCTTTAACGATATCAAGACTCTAATTCTTTGAATATTTAATATTATTAGTATGTGCAAATTAATAGTAACATGAATCTATAGAGTGATCTCGATGATAAAGAGAAGTGTTGTTATCTCTAGAGATTTCGGGTTCGAATAATTGTGTCTACAATGTGTGTATATGTTATCACCGATTAAGAAAGATTATGAATAGATACTAATCTATTAAGTCTCAATGGTAAAGAGAAGTGTTGTTATATTTAGAGATTTTGTGCTCGAATAATTGTGTTTACAGGGTGTGTGTACGTTATCAACGATTAAGAAAGATTTTGAATATATACTAATCTATTGAATGATCTCAATGGTAAAGAGAAGTGTTGTTATTTTTAGAGATTTCGAGTTCGAATAATTGTGTCTATAGGGTGTATATATGTTATCAACGATTAAGAAAATTTTTAAATAGATACCAACATGTAAATTATTTAAAAAAATAGTAACATTCGTTATTGCGAATAAGGTGATGATATAGATTCGTAATTTGTTTATTGTTACTTTTACGCATAATTTGACCACGTGAAAATATAATCTATTTTATTCAATTAATATTATCATTAAATATCGATTACTTAAGCAAAATAAAATGTTAAGCCCCTTGAATAACGTTCATGGTTCAAATTCAGATGTCATGGATAAAATAAATTAAATTAAAAGTATTGTCCTTATAATAGGTATCTATAATATTTAATATTTATTAGTTAATCAATAAAATAGATATAAATATTATAGTTTTATCGATTATTAAATGTCGTTCCATCTCAAAATTTTAGATCCACTATTTTGAATAAACTTTTTTAATAATCTAAAATGATTATAAAATAATATTTGTCTATAATCTCTTTTCGAGAATAAATACGTAACCAAGAATAAGCTGTTGTAACTGTTGATTTCTGTCCTGCGCATTCATTAATGAGTTGATCAATAGTTGTAGCTGACATTCTGTTTGCTTTCACTTCTGTATCTCTATTTAGTGTGGCATAAGTTGACTTATGGTATTACACCTAGTGCAGATTTATGGTGGGTTTATAGAAGAAGAATGAGGAGCAGGAGGAGAAGATCAAGAAGAAAAAGGTGAGGGTATGTGGATTATTTTTTTATTTTTAATTATTAGTTCAGACTTTCATTAATTATTTAACGGGATTTAGCGGTCGAGGGACCAAAATCAAAAGAACCTATAACATAAGGGATCAAAACTGTTTTTTAAATTGGTTACCAGAATCAAACAGATCAAAAACATAAGGGACCATCTGTATAGTTTACACTTAATTGTTATCATAATTTGGATGGGCCCACTATAAGATGGGAGGCCCATAAACATTGAATGACTTTGAAGGCTAAGCCACAAGAAATTAGGATTGTGGCCATTGGTGATTTGTGGTGGCTGGAGCTGGAGGCCGTCCCAGACGAGCACGAGCACGAGCACGAGCACCATTCGGAGAAAAACGCTGTAACTGGAGAAAACACTAAACTACCGAAAAATCACCAAATGGCATCATCCATTTGCCTATCTTTATCGCCGACTTCTAAAACCCTAACGCCGCGCTCCACTTCCTTTAACCGCGGTTGCAGGTGCTCCTTAGTAGTCTCCGTTTCTAACGGCCATAAACCGCCGTGGAGAAAGAGGCCGCAGGTGGTTTCTATGGCTCCGGAGGAAGAGAAATTGACTCGCCGCAATCCCCTCGATTTCCCCATCGTAAGTTCCTTTTCCCTTTTACTCTCATTGAGCTATAAGTATTATTCGCTTGCTTGCTAATAGGCGACGGAAGTTATCGGTACTCGGCAGTCTAGAGAATTCCAAATATTTTGTGCAGAAATACTCTGTTGGAAATTGTTGTTTGGTTAATGGTTTATTGGTTAGATGATTCTGTGACTTCAATCATTCAAGAAAGTAAGGAACAGTTTTCTGCAACAAATACTAGGTTATTTGTTTTCAACTAGTAGTCCAAATCGAAAAGAAATTGAATTCTCCTTGGTTACCCCTATCAAATACTGAATTCAAATATCATAATGCTCTGAATAGCCATGTATGTAAGCTAGATAGCTAGATTTTATCTCAAACAGAATTCAATCTTTAAAATAAAACCTGATCAAGTTTGAGCTAAGCTTTATGTTTCAAATTATAATCGAGCTCGAGCTTCTTGGATTTTGAGCTCGGTTTGAATACACCCCTAAATCTCATAATTTAAAATTTTAGTAGTTGTACTGGATACCTTTATTTAGTTTTCATCATGCAAATGAATTCTTTTTTATGCCACTAACTTGATCAATATTAAATTTTCATGTGTTAGGCTAATGCCAGACCAGCATTTTGAAGAACAACTTACTTGATACATGATAATTTAATAATATCTATAATGCTACCTTAGCATTTTTATGCAATGACATTAATCGGTTGAAAACAAATTCAAATACATGTGTAGGTTTACTGAATGTGTAGGCTTATCTAAAGCAATATGTTTAAATATGAACACCTTGGTTATGCATTGCAGGAGTGGGAGAGGCCTAAACCAGGGCGCAGACCCGACATTTTCCCCCAATTCAGCCCCATGAAAACACCATTACCACCACCAATGCCATATGATCCCCCTGAAGAAGACGAAGAAGAAGAAGAAAAGAAAGAAGAAGAAGAAGAAGAAGAAGAAGAAGAAGAGGAAGAACCCGAGAAGGAAGAACCCGAAAACCCCGAAAAACAGTCCTGAAAAATAATGGTAGGTTCTTGAAGGGTGAAAACACCAGCCTTGTTCAATTTTGTTCCATTGAGTTTTGAGGTGGTGGTGGTACCATTTGCTTATGCTCTTAGGTAGATTGAATGAGATGTTATAGTAATCCATTTTGGACCCTGGTGGCCTAGTGTGAATGAAATCTCATAATTTGAGTGGATATCATGGACATATTCAGATTGATTCATCAGGGAAACTTGGGCCTCAGTTCATGCTTTTGTAGTTTCAAACTTCACTAGCTTTCAAGTTGTATATAATTCTGTTTTGAGTACTGTGTTCTTAGTGGTGCGATCATTTCTTGCCCATAAATCAATCACCCTACGCATATTCCGCAATCTGGTGCCTACACCGAAACAACCCCGGGTGCTTAACTGGCGAACATAGGCATTGATTTATCATCGAACCATGTCCACCGCTGTCATCTCTGGCAATCGCCCTTCTTGGTGCATGACGGGTGGCTGCAAACATTGATGCTTGCAAAAATAACCATTTCCGTTGCATGCACTGGCCCAGCCATGTTTTCCGGCGGAAACGGTAACAAATCACATTTTAGAAAGCAAAGGAGCTTTGTTGCAGTGAGATTAATCAGGTTATATATGAGAAAGAAAGGTATAAGGTGCGGTGGGCAAGAAAGTTTTTTTACATAAAAGCAGTTTTTCTTCTCTCTTTTGATTGATTCCAAAGAGCTTTAGCTTTTTATCTTCCAAGCTTCGAGACCAAAAGCGTCAGCTGTTCATACAACACAACATTAAAAAAAATATTGATAGTAATTTGAATTAAGTATTCAAACATCTCTATAACAAGGATTAAGGCGTAGGATTATTCTTTATTATAAATTTAAAAATAGATATTTGAATTTTATTTTATATCATAAAATTAAAATATATTTTTTTTATAAAGGATTTAAATTTTGATCTAAAATTTTAGTAGATTTGGATTTAAATTCTTACAAATTTGAATATTAGATTTTATAATTTAAAATATAAATTTAAATTTTTACAAGTTTAATTATTTAAAGAATGATGATATTTAATTTCATTTTTTATAATAATAATTAAATAATTTATAAATAATAAAAAATTATATATTTTATCACTCAACTTTCTTCTCCCTTTTATTTTGATAACTAAAATCTTTCAATTTACTCATTAAATTTATGATTTGCTTCTATTTTGGTCATTTCCGTTGTTAAATGCGACTGTACATTTTTCTTTTAAAATTATAAATTGCCCTCAAAATTTATTCTTTTTTAGGAAAACTCCTAGTTTAGAATTTCATTAATGAAACATTTTCTTCAAAATCTCAACAGTGGTGAGATAGAGAATGAGGAAGCAAGTTGTATATCTTGATTCTACGCCGATCGAATAGTAGATATTATATATTAGAGTGGTTTGAAGTTTCATGAGTTTTGAATTTAGGGTTGAGTTTTATTACTTTTAGAGTGATTAAGATAAAATCTAAATCAACAGAGTCGTTGAGACAATGAGACAAGTTTGTTGATATCTTCAGTGGCATAGCTATATGCTTTTTAGAAATTTAAAATTTATTTATTAAGTTTTCAATTTTTATATACGTGTCCGCCCTAAAATTAATTTGTGGCTACCTTAAAAAAATTTGTGCCCACCTGAATTTATTTATGCCCAAAAGATAACTAAAATGCTTATTATAAACATTATTTTTGTTTGGGTTTAAAAATCCATTCATCAATCCGAAATCAAAATAAAACCAAATATATATATCTAGTTAAAACTCAAATCCAATATGCAACTCAAATTTAATATACAATCCAGATCCAATACTCTTAACCCAAATAGCAACCGATAACGGGTCAACCCAACCCCCAAACCCCTCCAAATTCAGTTTGCACCCAATACTAGAAAACGAAAAAACCGTTACTTATTCCTAGATTTCAACAAGGTTAATCTAGAAAAACTCTAATAATATGATAAGACTATAATCTATAAAAAAACAAATTGTAACACAACCTAAAATCTACAAACCTGCACAAAAACAGAGAAGAACTTCACAACGGCGAGTGGACAAAGATTCTCTGAGACCACATGAATCAAATGACGGTAAGTAACTTTCCAAAAATCAAAATATTATATTTGAATTAATTAATATATACCAAACATAAATTTATAAATATCAAACATAATATCAAAATTATATATATATATATATATATATATATATATTAAATCAAATAATTTTTTATGCATACTAAATCAAAGAATTAAAATTTAAAAATACTAAATTAACATATAATCAAATCACTAAATCAAATCTATAATTCATAACATTAATTAATAAATACATTTTAAAAATTAAAATAATATATTTGAATCAATCAAAGGATTAAAATCTATAAATACTTTTAAATAATTAATAAAAATATTAATATTACATATCACAACATATTTCTTAGTGAACCATGACATTCTTGGAGCAACCGTATTTCATATTTATATATATATTCATAACATTTTCAGCTTTTAACTTATTTTCTTATCTTGAGAATGTCAAAGGTCTTATTAACTTAAACTCTGGTAACCTTTTACGCGAAACCTAAAATATTAATGGTATCCATAACATTTACCAATTATAACTCATTTTCTTACCTTGTATAACTTTTTAGTACAACTTATTATGTTACTTCGACTTATATCTTTTTTGGTTCTGATTTATAACATTTGTGCTCCGCTTTTAACCTATAACATTTTTTACCGGATACATCGTTTATTAACCTTATTTTAAGCACATCACAACATAACTTCCCGTTATAGGCAATTTGTTTTGTACGAGACATCTCCAACCATTTCATAATATATTACAAGGTCGAGATTGTTGTCTCATCCAATTGGGGAAGCAGGAGAAGAAACTCAACCTAAGACAGAGGGACTGCTCAAGGATATACCGTCAAGTAATATCAGATATCTAACGAATACAAAAACAAAAGTTTTATCGCCGTGTGGTTCTAGGCAACGATGAAGAAGAATTAATAATATCAAATTAAAAGTAATTTGTACAAATTAACTAAATTTTTGTGTATTTATTTTAATATAAAAGATTTTCTCTTTTAATCATTAAAAAATACCAACATTGGACATTTAAATATATAATTATCATTTAGGAGATATATCTTTAGAATATTCTAAAATAATATAAAAATAATATAACTAAAAATATTCTTAAAATATTCTAGATATTTGTAATATTTGATATTACATTTAGAATTATCTATAAAAGATTCTCAACATTTATAAGATTAATAACTAAAATGTTGACATGTATCAATAACTAAAATGTTGACATGTATCAATAATCCAATGAACAATAAATCTATAAATATGAGATGAGATTTATCATTGTTTCTAGAGTAGTGAAAAGCATAAAAAGTGTGTTAGAGTAAGAGAACTTATAGGTAGAAAAACAAAAAATAATGGGGTAAGTGTGTTATATTGCAATTGTATTGTGTATTAATAAAAGTATTACATTCTCTTTTAATTATAAGTTTCCCAATTAAACCTTAATTTGTTTTAAGTTACTAGTTTACTTGTGTTAATTTTAATATATGATCATTTCTGCTTAGTGGCAGATCCATTAAGGATCTAGGGTGAGCATGTGCACGTACACTTTGAAATTTGAATTTCCTTTAGATAATTACATATTTTGATAGTTTGTCCACCCTAAAATTTTAGTTGTGCTCACCCTTTATCAAAATTTTGTATGATTAATATATATGTGTTCCCACTCTGAAAAATATTAATGGATCCACCACTGGATATTTTGAGTGGTTGGAGAAGACAGAGAATGGTAATTACAACGTGACGTGACATATGAATAAAATTGTAAAACTTTTATCTTGGAGGAAGAAGATAAAAAAAAGAAAAAAAGAAAAAAAATAACGTAAATGAAACATGATTCCATATAAATAAAAAGTAGTCCACATCAACATGTCTAATGTAACCCCCTCAGACCAATGCGGGTAACCCAATCCGATCTGGAGTGTCATATTAGGGCCACCAGAGCGACCCACTGTAAAAAAAGCGGAAAATTTAAATCTTTTTATCAAAACATGTAAACTCATAAAATCATTAATCGATATGCTTAATGAAAACAAATTTTCAGACTCAAATATAAAACAAAATACAATTACATGCCCCCTAATCACATGTATCGTACTCTGCAAACAGCACCGAAAGAACTCCTTTACTGAAGTCGATAGCTGCACTGGTACAATTCTTTTAGCCTGCAATAGTGAGTAATAAAGTGAGCTTCGGAAAGCTCAGTAATACAGAACTACCAGATGATGCTGAAGGACGTGCAGATACAAATAAACATATATTTCCTTATTGGTTTAGATATTTACAAATTTTTAGGCTGAGCTGAGATCCTACTGATATTTTAGGTGGTAAAGGACAATGAGCTTTCAGTTCAGAGAAATATTTCGGATGATTAAGTTTTGGAGATCAGAATAGGTTATCTAGTGTGTTCCCGTAAAACCAGTAAAAAATACAGATTTTTTAAAACATATATATATATATATATATATATATATATATATATATATATACCCCCATCCGTTCACATCATAAATGTGTAGGTTCCCCAGAATCATACACCCAACAACACATGCCATTTAGACCCTGCGCACAAAGCCGAAGAATCTGCATATAATCTTCCTCCAACAATAAACCCCCCAGATAAAACATTTCTCTGTCGGTAAACAGAGATATGAGAAATTAAAACAAAATTCAAATAAGATATCAGAACAGACTCCAGATCAGAAATCAGAATAAAATCTAGGTCATGTATCAGAATAGAATTCAAGTCGGAAATAAGATAAAATATTTATGTGATTAGGGAACACACTAGTCTTTATAGATATTATTCAGAGATACCGGATAATCTTATTGGGTAGAGAAACACAAATCTTCAGTTTATCGATAGAATGTCGAAAGTTAGAATCACTATTGGAAGAAATCAATAACTGATGGAATCATCAGTTATTCATAATATGATTTATCAGGATCACCTTATTCGGACACTTTTCGGAAGCTCTACATAATCAGAAGAGTATTCAGAATCCTTTATATCTGAGTTACTTGTGTTTTCATACATGACCAGAGTGATTTTAGCTGACAAGGAAAAACGAAGATCCAGGACCTTTAAAATCTATGTCGATTGATATGATTATCGAACAACTCTTAGATGAATAGTTCCCAGAACTAATGCTTGTCAACTGGTCAATTCGTTGTCCTTCCAGGGTATTTACACTTTAATACCAAATATTCTTGTCCATAGTTCATCTTCTGAGTCATCACTGAACAGATCTTAAGGAGACGAACATATATTCTAATGTCTTTATTTCATTTCTATGTTTCAACTATACCAGGAAATGCCGACGTAATTGATTTATGGTTCATAATCCATAGGGATGATACATCATGTAAGGTCATCTGAGTTTCTAGGCTTATCTCAATCACTTACTTAATCCTCAGTCCTTGAGATTACTTAGTTCATTTAGTATTCAAGTCCATTCCAGCTACTTCGGGATTTTCCAGAGTAAGACAGACGTTTCTGAATTTCAGATACATATTGTACTTTCGTTCAATTCAATTTGATCTTAGTGGTTGATTTCTCTAACGAATATTCATTTCTTAGTACCGTATGTGATCTAGAGTTGAGCTGAGCTAAGCTGAGTACTTCCAAAATTATCATCAATCCAAACTTGAGGAGATCAACACACATTCAAGTGATATCTATGTCATTCAGGTACTGACATGTCATTAAGGTTGATCGGCTCACTTAAGTTGTGTTCCATAACTTTTAAGGGTATTACAACACCCATATTTACTTGGATTCCTTAATTAATCCAAAACATATACTTAGTCTAGGTCATAAGGGTATTTTGGTCATTTTGATGCTCAATGTTTTATCATTCATTTCAAAGCTTGAGGATGTCCATTCATTCCTGGGCTTGGTGATATTATTTAATCATTTTCATTACAAGGAGATTCTGGTAATTTTACATATCCAATGTATTACAATCATTTCCTTTCGTTCGATCTTATTATCAAATTCAAACTTATCGTATATTTCAGTCCTTTCGAACAATTCTGACAAAAGAACACCCCCGATAAATTTTTCTTCAGGTATTTACTCAGAACTCGGATATTTTCGGGTCAAGGGACTTCTCAGATTTTACAAACGGAATATCATGAATTTTTCTGTATATAGACAGAATCTTAACAATTAAATTCGTAATTTATCGAGTTAAGTACAAATCCTCAAAGTACTTTCTCATTCCGGGTCAACTCGGACTATTTTACCTCTCAAAGGTATTTTCGTAATTTTTTAATCAGATAATTTCAGTATTAACCCTTAACAAAATAATATAATTTAGAGATCCTATGATTAATTACTTCCTTAAACATTCTCTGATCTTGAAATAATTCCTTAACAGACTTCTAGTATCTTGCATAAACCCTCTTGGGGTTAAAAACCGGTTATTTAAATTTCCTAAGCAAAACTAGTATTTCTATGCACATCAGTAGTTTCATTAGATCAATATCTCTTTACAACTTCTTATACAACTTCCATGGTCAATTCTTGTCTTTCTACAACATAAGGGTATTTTCGTAATTTTACCCTACCGAAGTATTCTCATAATTTCTCATCCAAGTACCTTTAACATTTAACCTTTGATGAAATAAATTATAAGTTACAGATCCAGGTTGATTTCTTCATCATTAAGCACAAAACTTGTAATTTAATTCTAACAATCCCTCAATTTCTTTTAAAAGTCATCTGAACCATAATCAATTACTGAACCTTTTTACCGTATTCAGATCGAGTGTAGAACTTCATTAATTACACATATGAGACCAAACATTTCCATTCATGCATTTACCAATACCAACATGTTCTATAAAGCATAAAGAGGTAGTAATGTATTACCTCGACCTCGATTTCTGTGTCATACTAATCGACCATTAAATTCCATTCAAACACCCTTGATCTTGAAATCATCTTCCAATAATTCCTCAGATGCATATCTACAGAAATTACATAAAAAACGAAGCTTAATTCCGAAAAACGAAATGAATCGGGTGATTAATAAGTGAAAACTAACTTACCGGGTTCGAATTTCGCGAAACGGACCCAAAAAATGGATTCAGGACGTCGAAAAATGTCTGAATTTTACACAAATATCACCCTAACAGGAATTAATTGCAAAATTAACACCCCCTACGCGCAGTGGCGACGCGTGAACAGTGATACGGTGTCGAAAAATTCCTAAAAATTATTTTAAGGCATTTTGAGACACTTACCAAGCTTGGTTCACAATTTTGAACGGCGGAGAGCTCGATTCTGAAACATTGAAAACTTTGACTTTCTCACCCCTCCACGTGCCAACAACGACGGAGAAACGGAGGACACCAGCGGACTCGGAACGATGCAAGGAACACGATGGTTCGGGAGGTGTCAAAAACGGATGGTCGGATCGTCGTGAATCGACGAAAAACCAACTGAAATTGAGTTAAAACCGACGATACTTCCAACTAAAAATAACAACGAACGACGACGATTCATAACGAAAGGTTTGAGGGGTTTTGTTATTCGGTCGACAACGAACACGATGGTGGTTTCAGTTCGTTGATCGGAGGTCAGATGACGAGTAGATCGGAATTGAAAGGAGGGTTGAAGAGGAAGAAAACTGGAAAATTTTTCCAGAAAACATACGGGAATATGGTTTATATTTTCTCCTAAAGAAAAATGGTCAAACCATGAGTTTAGCCACTGAATTTCCTGCACTTATTAAAACGGTATACCAACTTTTAAATTTTACAATTTAATCCACAGTTTCTTTCAAAATACCAATTAAATCCAATACTTTATAATTTCTAAAATTTAGCCCCTAAATTAGAGTGTTACAATTTCAGTGAACATATGTGGTTTCTGTCTCATTTCATTTATGATTTAATACATGAGTGACTAAAATAGGAACAAATCAAAAATTTAATAAGTAAACTAAAAAGATTTGATTTCTATTGACCAAAGTAGGAATGAGAAAAAAGTTGAATAATAAAATTTATAATTTATCTATAAAAACAAACACAAAAATTTATATAAAAAATTCTTAATGAAAAAACCACGTACAAAGGAAATGAAAATTCAGTCACTATAATCGATGATAACATTAAATAGAAATGATAAAAGGACACTTATCTTTAAAAGTTACATTAAACCATAAGTTTATGTTAAATATCCTAGAAATGACCATCCAACTCAGTTGGTAGAGCACAAGGTTCTTAATTTTGAGGTCGTGAAATCGAGTCTCACGGAGGGCATTTTATAATTCGGAGGTCTCCTACGGAAACTGCTCTCAACCTGGTGTTGGGGGCAACCTATTATCTTACTTCCCCTTACCTCATACACATAGAAAAAAAGGGACAACCACTTTTATGTTAAATATCCTGCCCTCTACATTCACCATACATACACACACATACACATACACACACACATATATATATATATATATATATATATATATTTACGTTATATAATTATTTTAAATTATAAATGATTATATAAACTATAACAATTTTTAGGTAAGTTATTCGTTTAGTACATAAATTATCAGTTTTGGTCCGTTTTAGTACATAAATTATCAGTTTTGGTCCGTTTTAGTACTTAAATTTTTAATTTTTTCAAAATCATACTTAACATTTAATTTTTTTGTTTCATTTTAGTACATCACCTTTAAAAACTTAACACCACTACTTTTTATGGGTAAATTATATCATTCATCACTCAACTATCTTCTCACTCATACTTTGGTACTAAAGTTTAAAAGTTTTCAATTTAGCCACTCAACTTCAAAATTAATCTTATTTTAATCACTCTAATTTATACTATTGATAATTTTTGTGTCATGACATTTTATTATTATTTTATTAATATATAATTCAAAATAAAATAAATAAATTTAAAAGTTAGAGTGATTAAATTAGGAGTAATTTGAAAGAGAGTAATTAAATTAAAAAAAAATTAAACTTTGGTGACCAAAATAGGAGTGAGAAGATAGTTGAGTGATCTATGATGAAATTTACCCATAAAAGAGGTGCCACTTACAATTCAACTTACAAATCAACCGTTAAGTTTTTAATGACGATGTAGTTAAACGAAACAAAAACTAAACGTTAGGTATGACTTTAAAAAAATTGAAAATTTAGATACTAAAATAGACCGAAACTAATAATTTACGTATTGAATACATAATTTACCCTAACTTTTTTAGAATAATCTAAGAACTCTTTAGAAAATTCAGAAATAGTGATAAATAGTAATCAAATATGTGTTATAAATTATATTGATCATTTCTATGAATAGTGATAAATAGTAATCAAATTTGTATTATAATAATGAATGTAAAAAAATAATGGATGAAAGCTTCAAGTTGTCCTCTGTATTTTGCATCTGTTTTTCTTCTTGATTTTAAAATCACAGTTATTTCATAATTTTTTAGTAAATACATTTTCTAAATTATTTTTAATTTTAAATTGAGTAAATTAATTAATTTAAAAATAAAATTTAATCTTAATTGAGTATCGCTTTGAGTAAAATCTCTTTTGAGTATCGCTGTCTAATATCAAAATTGAAAGATAGGAAGTATGTATTTTGACCTTTATTATTTATGTTACAAACCGCTTTATTTTTTACATTTAGCACATTTTTGGTTTACGAGGCACCAAACCTTTTTAAATCACGGTTTGTGTTATTTTAATTCCTTGTTCCTCTAATAAAAGGCTACATATATTATTATACCCCTCGGTTTATCTGTCTGTATTCTGGCTTTTTTGGAAACACAAGCAATAAGAAAAGATAAACCCAGTAAAAAGAGGCAAATCGATTTGGGTATGTATTTCTTTGGTGCATTGTTTTATAGCAATCGGTTTTTGTTTATAGCAATCGTTTGATTGTTTAGTACCCAAATTGATGTTTGTTTGACCAGGTTTTTGTTTAGAGCTGAATTTTTTTTAAAGATTTGAACTTTTCTTCTTTCTTTTTTTCTTTGTAGAAGAATAAAGGAAAATCGATTGGTAAAGTTTTGAAGTATTATACAATAACATATTGTCTTTCGGTTTTTGAATGGTATTTTTGTGTTTGAAATTGATTAAGATTCAGTTTTGAGTATTTGGGTTTTTGTCTAAGCTAAAGATTGATGGTGTTTTTACTTATTTTTTTAAATGATGATCGTAGAGTTGGTTTTGCAGCTTGGATGATGAATCTGATATTGCAGTGTATTTTACGTAGATGATTGTTTCCTTTACCCCCTTTTTTTTATGTTATAAGCATGCAATTTACATATGGTTACTTAGCACTTGAGGTCTAAATTTCTGATATATGATTGATGAACTAGAATTTTCGAGGTTGCAGTGAAATAGAATTGATCATCAACTTTTTATATGTTATGAATTCGGATTTTTTTCTAAACCAAATGGTTATCCCTTTAAATAAATGTTATTTGCATTTTGTGGCTATGATATTTTGGTTGGAAATTTAGAGATTTGCTAAGGGGTGAGCTGATGAAGAAAATGGTATATTGATGATTAGATAAAATTACATGAATTATGATTTGGTAGGAGGGAGTTTCCTTTTTGCATGGGAAAGAATGGCAGATTTGAGAGGAGGAATTCGTCAATCGAAAAGGACTAATGACAACCCAGAAATCCCTGCTTCCTTACTTCCAACGGTTCTGAATGGTGCTGGTAACAACACTTTTTAAGTTTTATCTTTATTTTTTAATTTTTTTTTAGTTTTTTGTTGTACCTGCTGTTTCCTTGTGTGATAAGTGATAACTGATAAGAATCCATGATCAGCTAGTAGAGGCAGAGGCAGAGGTAGAGGCAGAGGGCGTAGAGGAATGAATCCCGATGATAATTGCAAGCTTGTTGGTTCTGGTGCTCGTGGCAGGGGTTGTACTGGAATAAACTTGCCTGTGAGGCAGGTTGTTGAAAAAAGTGCAGAAAGATTGGTTGCTGTTGAGGAAGAAGGAAGCACTAGTTCACTTCCTGAAAGGGTACTATTTTTCTCTTTTATTAATCTGCCTCCTGGGGTCATTAGTTAGCCGTTTTTATAATGGAATGACAATGGAAATGTCTCGTGTTAGTGGATTGTTATGTCATACTCACTATTGAGGGTAAATAACCACACAGGACCATATCCAGTTCTCCATGTCAAAAAAGAAAAAAAAGAGCCACTTTCTTTCTGGCTATGCATGGTTTCATAATGTTATATATGGTTCAATCTGATCACTCACACAATTTTTCATCTCCAAATGTAATGTGCCAAACCTTTCAAGCTATTTTTACTAAAGTTCCATTTGCTTATCCTTTGGCAGGTACAGCTGGGGAACTCTCCTGTGTACAAGTTGGACAGAAAACTTGGTAAAGGTGGTTTCGGGCAGGTTTATGTTGGAAGAAGGATTTCAGGTGGCTCAGGGTGCAGTGGACCTGATGCCTTTGAGGTTTCATTTCACTTACACTCTAGTTAACCTGAAGAAAATTCACCTGAATTTGACGAAGGTGTTAATGCAATTATCCTGCTTCATTTTGCAGGTTGCTTTGAAACTTGAGCATCGAAATGGTAAAGGATGTAGTTCTGGTCCTCCTTATGAATGGCAAGCTTACAGGTATAGCAGATTTCATCATTGCAGTCAGTTGAACTCAACTTTTATGATCTAATTTGCTTCCTGTCTCAAAATTGCCATTCAGCACTCTTAATGGTTGTTATGGACTTCCCATGGTTCATTACAAAGGTCAACTAAGAGGGTACTACATCCTTGTGAGTTTCTCAGTGAAGAATTTCAAACCCACTGTTGTATTTTAGAACAAAAAATATCTTTATTGATGTTTCTTTGAAACTTGTGAATCCAGGTCATGGATATGCTAGGCCCAAGTTTATGGGATGTTTGGAACTCAAACAATCAGATGTATGAAACTATTTTTCTTTCTTTCTCCTTCTCTTTCTTTTAACATTCTACTAAGTTTTCCTAAAATTATATGTTTTGGATTTTTTTGTATACGACACTTTGTTGCTATAATATCTTATTGTTTCTTCTCTTGGTATAGGCTGACAGAAGAGATGGTTTCTTGTATAGCAGTGGAGGCAATATCGATTCTTGAGCAGCTTCATCAGAAAGGGTACTTCAAAGTCGTTGCATTGATATTTTTTCCTCACTTCTTTGACTGCTTGTATATTTTCATATTTCTTTTCTCTACTTCAGTTTTGTACATGGGGATGTTAAGCCTGAGAACTTTTTGCTTGGCCAGCCTGCGACCTCGAATGAGAAGAACTTGTATCTAGTTGATCTTGGTTTGGGTATAGCTGTTTTATGCTCCTTATACTGGAGATGCTTTACTGTTTTTAAGCGTATATTGTGGCATGACCCACAATTCTTGATCCTTTTCAGCTTCAAGATGGAAGGAGGCAGCATCTGCACGCCATGTTGATTATGACCAAAAGCCTGATGTGTTTAGGTAATTGACTCTAAGCAACTGCTTCTTTTAGGTCATGAACATGAACATAAAGGTTTTTGTTTATTTTTTATTATTTACATAAGAGTTATGTGTTCATAGGCTTTATTATTAAGTAGCTAAGCATAGTTTTCCCTGCCTAGTAGCCTGTTTTTTCTTCAGACTCAAGGAAGGCACATTTAAATATTTATATTTCTAATTTGGATTTATTATTATGTTTTCTGTTTTAGGGGAACTGTTCATTATGCTAGTGTACATGCTCATTTGGGTAGGACAGGAAGTCGAAGGGATGACCTTGAGTCATTGGCTTATACACTCATATTTCTACTTAGAGGGAAGCTTCCCTGGCAAGGTTACGTTGTGAGTTCTTTCAACTGCTCCACCTTATTTTGGATCTTTGTAGCTTAGTTATTGTCTTCTGCCATTAATGTCACGGGCTTTAATGTTTTATGGGGCTGCAGGGGGAGAACAAAGGATTTCTTGTTTGTAAGAAGAAGATGGGAACTTCTCCTGGGATGCTTTGTTCCTTGTGTCCTCCTCCATTTCAACAGTTTCTCGAGATTGTCGCCAATATGAAATTTGACGAAGAACCCAATTACTCAAAGCTCATCTCCCTTTTCCGTAACAGCATAGATTTCAACTCATCAATACATCCTATCCAAATCGATGGAGCTATTAAGGTTGTTACATGGCATTATCTTGTCTTGTGCCAATACCTTTTCTTAAATATATATACTTATTATTTAGATTTTCTTGATAAATCTTTAATGCATCAGGTGGGTCAAAAAAGGGAAGGACCATTTGCTGAGTTGGAAGATGGTGAGCAGCTTAAAAAGAAAGTTCGGCTTGGTTCTCCTGCTTCTCAGTGGATCTCAATATATAATTCCAGAACTTCCATGAAGCAGAGGTAAAAGTTCTCTTCAGAACCAAATATGTATTTAGTATAAGCTGCTCATACCATATATTTTGGTGGCTTCATATCATCATATGCTTCACAGGTCATTTGAATGGGCAAAATACTCTTATGGAAATGTAAATTTTAACTCACTGTACTTATTGCAGATATCATTTCAATGTTATGGATTCAAGACTCAACCAGCATGTGGAGAAGGCAATGGAAGATGGCTTGTATATTAGCAGTGTAGCGTCGTCATCGAATCTGTGGGCCATTGTTATGGATGCTGGTTCGGGGTTTACATCTCAGGTTTACGAGTTATCGCCAATCTTTTTGCACAAGGTAGAAATAACTATTCAGTTGTCAGCTTTTTTGTCTCATGATTTTAATCAGTGGAGCCTTGGGAAGTTTATCCTTACGGTTTGTATGTTCAGGAGTGGATAATGGAACAGTGGGAGAAGAATTACTACATCACTTCAGTTGCTGGTGCGTGCAATGGCAGTGCACTGGTTGTTATGTCAAAGGGTAATCAAAGCTTTTTCGAGATTCATGTTTCCCTAATTTTTCAAGTAATTATTTTCGCAATATCAATTTTCCGAAGGGTGACTAGTTTCATAAATTTTAAGTTTGTATGTTTACTGTGTCAACTTATGGGCCTGTAAATTCTGATTACTGACGTAGTAGTGCAGCTTAACACAAGCTAAGCTTCAAGATTAGGAAAAATAGGCGTGATTATCATGATTGATCAATCAAATCTCCGTGATGGTAAGGCTGAAATTGTGTTTCTCCTTGTCGCCGCAACAGGTACTCCCTACACGCAACAGTCATACAAAGTTACCGACGTGTTTCCCTTCAAATGGATTAATAAGAAGTGGAAAGAAGGCTTCTCTGTGACCTCAATGACCGCTGCAAGCAACAAATGGGCCATTGTCATGTCCCGAAATGCAGGCTATTCTCTTCAGGTTGTCTGATTCCGGTCTAATAATAAAAAATTGCATAACACTGTGGCAACCACTTATTTGTCTTGTACTTGTTTACTAGGTTGTTGAACTCGATTTCCTTTATCCGAGTGAGGGGATTCATCGAAGATGGGAAAATGGGTATCGGATTACATCAGCGGCAGCTACAGAGGATCAAGCTGCATTCATACTTAGTACACCTAAGAGGAAATCACAAGATGTAATGCAAGAAACTTTGCGTACATCTGCTTTTCCTAGTACCCAAGTAAAGGTAATATAATTTTGCGTGATTTGGTCTTGGTTATGGTTTTAGTCTCACTAGTATGCTGAAATTTTATATTTAATCCCTTTTACTCTAATTTGGCATAATTTGGTCCTACTTCTACAATTTTGTTAGTAGAACCAAATGGACAACACTATTAGTTGTTAAAGTGAGGTTAAAAGTTTTTTAGAACAACATTAAGCATTTGACTAACATGTAAATTTTTTGTTGGTTGAACATGGACTGCGAACTAATGACTGTAAAAGGAGAGTTTTCCCTTCATTACTTTAATAGCAACAGTTAATAGTGTTATAAATTTAGACCTATTAGTAGCATTATAAAATTAAAGGGTTTGAATTATGTCAAACTAAAGTAGAGGGATTAAACTCATAATGAGAATGCATGATTTTCATTGGTCTATGATATCATCTCTATTGGTATCTTTGAAGCAGTCTTGGTAAAATAGTTCAATTGATTTGAGGTTGCATATTTTAGATTAATAATGTAATTTGTAATCACTAATGATTCTTGTTTTCATCTATTTTGTAGGATAAGTGGTTGAAAAATCTGTATATTTCATCCATTTGCTATGGGAGGACGGTGTCTTGAAGTGGTAATCGGTATTTGGAGTGAACAACACTGCCACCTTGTATCTTAAATTTCAAACTCAACTTTATCTGATTGCACTTGTACTCTCGAGCTTACACCAGCTACACTAAACTATATTTCAAAGTTATTATTCAAATTCAATTACCAATTATAACCAGTTATTAATGAAATCATTTTGAGTAATTGAAATTTTACTGTACTTTTAATTCTATTTTATCTGTTATGTGAAACGTCATAACGTGTGGAATCTGTTCAAACTTGAATGATTTTTGTAGTCTGGTGTTATAAAAAAAATGTAATGTAATTAGGATCGTATTAGTTGGACGAGGCCTAAGACTAACGGCACAACAATTGCCTGATTCTTCAAGTGAAAACCTCAACATTCAATTAGCGAAGATCATTAAAAGTTAAAACACCGGAAATATTATACAATTGGTAGGATGTAAAAAGTTGATTTTACTTGCAAATCTTATTGAAATCGATTTGGTAGGATGTAAAAAGTTGATTTTACTTGCAAATCTTATTGAAATCGATTTGAGTTAAAACAATTTGTGATCCGAGGTGGTGGTGATTTGAAATTGATTCGAGTTCAAATTGGTGTTGACCTGAACCCGAGTAGGAGCTGAAAATTGTGGATCTGAACCCGACCTGAACCCAAATTGAACGCTTAATATGATAACACAAACCTGACCTGCATCCGACTGTTACGAACTCGAACCTAAGATTAACATGTTAAATAACTGGTATTACCAGACCTGTTATAGACCTGACCTACATCCGATTGTTATTAACCCGAACATGAGATTAACCTGTTAAATAATTGATATTACCAAACCTGTTAAATAATAAAGTCCATTTTTATATATTAGAATCCATGTAAAAAAAATTTCTTAAAACCCATTCATAATCCAATAAACTTTTTGAATTTTAGAAGTAAAAAAAAATCACCCCAGGATTCTATGTTGTCGCCGGATTTGGGAGAAGAAAAATGGGGCGGGGCCCTTGGTTTTATCATATCACTATGATGGTTCGAGACTTGCTTATAAGTAAGATTAAATAAATAAATATATGTCCATATATATATATATATATATATATACTTTTTTTTTCGAATAATAAATCCATTTTTATATATTAGAATCAATGTAAAAAAAATTTCTTAAAACCATTTCATAACCCAATATACTTTTGAAATCACTCTGATGATTGGACTTACTATTGTTAGTGTAAGATCCTGTCAGAATCCGACTTACTTATAAATAAGAATAAATAAATAAATATAAGTCCATTAAATAAAGCTCAATTATATATATATATATATATACATTTTTTAATAATAAAGTAGAATTCAAGTAAAAAAAGTTCTTAAAACTCATTCATACCCCCAATATACTTTTGAATTTTAAAAGTAAAAAAATAAATCACCAGAATTCTATGTTGCTGCCGGATTTAGGAGATGAAAAATGAAGCAGGTCCCTTGCTTTTATCATATCACTCTATTGTTTGACTTACTTTTGTTATCGTAGGATCTCGTTAGGATCCGATTTGCTTATAACTAAGACTAAGTAAATAAATATATGTCCATTAAATCAAATCCATTACTCATATATATATATATATATATATATATGTGCATATATTTTTTTAATAATAAAGCCCATTTTTATAAATTAGAATCCATGTAAAAAACATTCATAAAATCCATTCATAACTCAATATACTTTTAAATTTTAAAAGTAAAAAAAAATCCCCCAACGATTCTATGTTTCCACCCGATTTGGGAGAAGGAAAATGGGGCAGGACCCTTGCTTTTACTATATCATTATGATGGTTCGACTTGCTTTTGTTACCGTAGGATCCTGTTAGGATCCAGCTTGCTTATATGTGAGAATATATAAATAAATAATAAATATCCATTAAATAAAATCCAATACTCATTTAATATATATATATATATATATATATATATATATATATATATATATATATATATATATTACTTTCTTTAATATAAAGTCCAGTTTATATTAGAATCCATGTACAAAAAAAATCTTAAAATTGATTCATAACCCAATATAAATTTAAATAAATAATCGTTGATTTGGGAGAAGAAAAATGAGACGGAACCCTTACTTTTATCATATTACTCTGATGGTTCGACTTGCTTTTGTTACAACAGAATCCTATCAATTTGCTTATAAATAAGACTAAATAAATAAATATATGTCCATTAAATAAAACTCAATACACATTTAATAAATATATATTAAATGGGTATATATATACACTTTTTTTGAATAATAAAACCCATTTTCATATTTTAGAATCCATGTACAAAAAAATTTCTTAAAACTCATTCACAACCCAATATACTTTTAAATTTTAAAAGTCAAAAAATACCCCCATGATTCTATGTTGCCGCCAGAATTGGAAGAAGAAAAATGGTGTGGGGGCACTTGCTTTTACCATATCACTCTTATGGTTCGACTTGCTTTTGTTACTATAGGATCCTGTCAGGATCTGACTTGCTTATAAGTAAGAATAAATAAATAAATATATGTCCATTAAATAAAATACAATACTCATTTATATATATATATATATATGAATAATAAAGGTCATTTTTATATATTAGAATTCATGTACAAAAAATGCTTAAAATTCATACGTTTTTCTCGGAAAATCATCTTTTTAATTTAATATTTTCGATTAGGTACCAGTCAGACTATATTTCCCGATCTAACACCCTTTATAGTAAGGCGCGCCCCTGCAGCACGTTATACGTTAATTTGGCGCCACGTGGGGTAGGGTATGCTGACATGGATACACGTGTGTATGGCGCGGAGTAGGTTGGTAATTAAGGGTATAGTGCGCGACAGGGGCCGCGCCTTACCAGTGATTCTGACACGCGTCAGAAAGGAACGACCCCTGCCCCGCGCTATACCCTTAATTACCAACCTACCCCGCCCATTCACCCCAATCCTCCTTATAAATACTCACATTCTTAATCACTTTCATCACACCAAATCCTCTCAACTTCTCTCAAATACTCTTATATTCTCTTATTAAGATATATTTTATTATATTTAGTATTTTAGTAATTTATTTAATTATTTTAATTGTTTAATATTTTATTTAATTAATTTTTTGTAGATATAAATGGAAGGCGGTCTACTTTGGTTGGATGAAAATCATATATCTCGACACTTTGCTGATACGGTAACATTTTAACGTTTTAATTTAATTAATTAATTTATTTATTTAATGCATGATTATTAGTTTAAAAATTAATTTGTGTAATTATTTATATTTTAGGAGAGAGACCGTATATTAGATCCTTTTATTAGGAACCTTAAGTTAGTTATACCTACTCGTGTAATGTCGTATTTAGTAGAGGCTGGATTCGGTCACCTAGGTAGATATCAGGGTCACTGTAAGATAGAACCAAACCTTATTTCTGCCTTAGTAGAGCGGTGGAGGCTGGAGACCCACACATTCCATATTCCGTGCGGAGAGTGCACGATCACGCTTGAGGATGTTTCTATGCACCTGGGGCTTCCGGTGGATGGAGGTGTGATATCAGGGATAACTTCCGGTTCTTGGACTACTTTGTGTCGGGTTAGTCTAGGACGTGTCCCAGAAAATTTTAACGGTGGACGGATACCGTTAAATTGGTTAGATGACAATTTTCGGGAGTTGAGCGAGTACGCGTTTGACGATGAAGTTAAACAGTATGCACGAGCATATATACTGCAGCTGATAGGAGGGTTGATGATGCCGGAAAAATCGCTCTACCAAGTTCACTATATGTGGTTGCAACATCTTGATGACTTTCATCTGGTCAGATCACTCAGTTAGGGCTTGGCAGTTTTGGCTTGCCTGTACAGGGAGATTTGTCGAGCCATTGACTACAGGCATAATGCTATCGGCGGATGTCTCCTGCTGCTGCAGTCTTGGGCATGGTATCGATTGCCCTTTTTATGTCCCGTTGTCAAGAACCCATTTGTATTTCCGCTACTCGTGAGGTAATTATAAAATTGATTTTGTATATTAATAATTTTATACAGTGAATAAGAAATTATTTTTCTTGAATAGGTGGTCTACTGATAGGAAAAATCATCAAGAGCTACCTGATGATTTAGAAAAAATTAGGGTATTAATCGATCAGAAGGCTGTCACACATGTATGAATTTTAATGTTTAAAAATCGATTTTAGATTATAGTTATATAATTAGATTATTATTTTGATAAAAATTATATATATTTGTTTTAGTTTGAATGGGTGTCATATTCTACTGATGATGTGAGGGAGATGATCCCACCTGAGTTGAGGGGCCCATCAGATGTTTGGATGGCAATAGTCCCTTTGATATGTTATGCGACCGTCGAGTGACACTCCACTGATTGCGTGCTTCGGTAATTTGGTTGTTTTCAACCAATTTCGAAAGCATCTCGCAATATGGATGAGTTGCATATCACAGATAGACGTGGCAAGATAGATACAGATTGGCTGGTGAGGCATCATGCGTGGGTCATGTTGTGGGAGGATCGACATCGGTGCCTTCCCCGTAGAGAGCCCATTTTACTTGACCTCTTGATGGTCGCTGACGGTTATTACGAGTGGTTCAACAGTAATGGGAAATCGTTTCTGCTTCCCGAGAATGCACGAGGATAGACCTTTCCGCGACGTCGACAGAGACGTTCACCAACATAGAACCATCGTCCCCCGACTCGTGGACGGAGAGCAGGTGCTTCCGGTTCATCCTCAGCTACACCAGCAGGACCTTCACAGCAGTCACTGTATCCACCGGCTTACATACTGCAGCCATATATGATGCCGTCACCGCTTTTTCATTACCAAATGCCGCCACCGCCGCCTTCACCTGGTTTTATGACCCCGCCGGTGCCACCGTCACAGAGTTATATGACCCATCCTAGAGGCTATTATGGGTCTATGTTTGTAGACCCGACTTGGGGTTCATTTGCTCACATTTTGGCGGGTTCAGCCTCATCATCCATGGCCGCAGCACAGACACCTCCTGTACAGTTTTCACACTCAGTGATGTCTGGGTTTTATGAGTTTTCCCAGTTTTTGCAGGCCGGTCGAATAGTCAGTCATACACCCCGAGGGTCCTTACTCTATAGAGGTGCTTCATCGTCATCAGATCCTCATCAACAAA